CTTGGAGTATCTCTCCTGTTCTCCACAGTCTTTCCAAGATCAATGTTGGTAACCAACTTAGCACATCTGTCAGTTCTTTCAGTACCTATGGATATAGTTCATCTACGTTTGGTGATGAGTAATTACGGGCAGGTAGGTTCTCTTTTACTACCCCACTCAGTCATCCTGGGTTTTAATTCTCTGTTCACTGAGTTTTGTGTTAGCCTTCTCCTCAGTTTAAAGAACTTTAGCATACAAATAAAAAGGAAAAGATGGAGCTGAACAACTTCACCTCTCCATTGTTTATTCTTATTCATTCTTTCAGCATGCATTTATTGAGCACCTTCTATGTACCAGGTGCTGTACTAAACACTCAGACAAAGGATAGTGCAATTTGTGCCTCCTTAGCCTGAGCACTCTACCTCTCAGTTCAGCCTCAGATGGCTGTAGCTTTATTGTACTTTGTACATTTGCATACTGGCATCTGGGGCCATGCATTTTATTGCTGGGTCTTCTGTAAATCATGGGTCCTTGATACTGCCATTCTTCCTATATTGTGCCTACTACCTTCTGCGGACTACAGCTGACAGATTTGTGTGTGGGCAGTTTTCTCCTTCCTGCTCCAATTTCAGGTTAAAACAATCTTGAATGGATTCATAAGACTCAAGGAAACATACTCTTTCCAAACCTTGATAGGTGTCCTCAGGACAAGAATCCTTCATTCCTATCTTTTAAGGCATAGTCCAGAAATCCAAAATCTCTTCTCAAGACCCTATCTTCTTAATTAGCATATTCATTTTACAAACTTTCTTCTTTCAAAGTCCATACGTTCACCTGACAGCAGTAATGAAAATACCACCTGTGTCCCTAAGATCTTCAATTCCTTGCCAAGGACTTCATAATCCCTAGCAATATTTTCTTAGCTCCTTCCTGGCAGTTATCATTTGTCCCGACATATATCACCAAGAGTTGAGTGGTGATTGTCAAGTTTTAGAAGTTTGGGGAGGTTCTCTGAATCATCCTGGCTACATACACCAGGAAGTCATGACATGGAGTCATCCACCATCACTATTTTTCCCCAGGCCAGTCATCTCTTTCTGGCAGGCCCTTATGGGTCCCCATCATTCCTTGATGAACAAGAGATTGCTTCCTCCTCAAAGGGTACATACAGCTCCAATCTTTACAATACAGATTTTTAACTTAAGGACTGTGTGAATTTTTTCAAAAATGTTGATAACTATTTCAGAATCACTGGTTTCCTTTGTAATCTTATGTATTTCATTTTATGAACTTACAAATTATATTCCCAGAAGGGGCCTCTAGGCTTCGTCAGAAATCCAAAGGAGTTTAAGACACAAAAAAGGTAATGTACTGATTTACATAGCTCTCACTGCTCAGTAGTTCTCTTTCTTCTGGGTCACATTCTTCCAATATACCTCTCCTCGCCTTCAACCTCATGACAAGTTAGGATTCTTTGCTGTCTCTTCAGATTACTTCTCTCTTCAAAGATTTTCCCTATTATTTCAAGAAATGAATTTCATACTACCAGGTAAGCCAAAAAGTAGAAAAACATCCAAGTAGGGAGATCACTTTGCAGAAACAACTGGTACCCTTTGAGACAGGTCACTGAAAACTCCTCTTGCCTTCTTGGTTTATGGGAAGCAAGATCCTCAATCTTCTTGGCTTTTTTTTTTTGGTAGCTCTATGGACTAATTCTCATGAAGTGTCAGTTCACCATGCCCCTTTCTTCATCTTTGGTAATTAGCAACATCTTTCTGAGTTCTAATGAAAACATCCCCCAGCTGTCCCTTGCAAGATGGGCTTAAGTATAATCCCATTTACCCGTTTACCTCTTTGGACCCCACCTTCCATCTTACTGCTTCTGGGCTGAAGTATCTGGTGGTTCCTTCTAGTTTCTGAGAGGAGGGCAATCATTTACAGCTAGCTTCCTGCTGTTTCTCACAGCATGAACTCTCTCTTCTCTGACGCACTTTGTCTGACCATTTTGTCAATGTTTTGCCTAAAACGCAGCCTCCAAAACTGGGCAAAACACTCTAGCTGTGCTCTGACTGGGGCAGAATACAGCAGAATTATCATCATCCTGACTCTCACACCCTTATCCTCCCATCTAGGCAGTAATATGCCTGCATCCATTCAATCTAAAAAAACCCCAAAAAAACATTAGCTGCTCTCATAAAACGTCCATTCTCTGAGTTTGTGATCCACTAAAACCCCTAGGTTTTGTTTATTTGTTTGTTTTTCAATAAACCTGTCTAACCATACCTCTTCCACCCTTCACTGGAAGAAGGATACAAGACAGGGCAGAGAGGAAGTCAGAGGAGAATAGAGATGGAGTCTGGGAAGAGTACCGAGCAGCAAAGTTAGCGGGCATGAGTGTCAGAATGGAGAGCACGCCTCACAGAATGGAATCTGGAATTCGGCTGCCAATGTTGGCCTTTTGCCTTAGGTCAATTCCACACAAACAGCCCCTTCCCTGTTGGGCCCTAAATATCTTTTTCTAAGTTCAGTCTGTCCTCACCCTCCATTCACCTCCCTAGAGGCCCCAGTGGCCTTCACCCCTGAACACCACAGAGTTGGAAGAGTCCTTCAAAAAACCAAAACCAAAAAAAACCCCAAAACAACCAAAAACCTCTACAATCTTCCCTACAAGTGGTTATCCACTACATTCTTAAATACCCTCAGTGGCAGGGAGCTCGAGGCCTTTTCAGCAAGTCCATTCCACTTTTTGACAGCTGTAATCATTAGGAAGTTTCTCTGTGCTTTGAGCTGAAATCTACCTCTCTGAGATGTCCTACTGTTCCTCGTGCTCTCTTCATGGGGTCAAGCAAAGCAAGTCTGATGATTGTTCTTTCACATGACAACCCTCCAAAGACAGCTAGCTATCATATCCTTCCTTTTTAAAAGTTTTCTCTTTTTCTGGCTATTTCTGGTTCCTTCAACCAACCCTTACCTGGCACAGTTTTGGGGCACCTTCCACTGGATACTCTATAGTCAATCTATGTCCCTCCTAAAAGGTGATACCCCCAAAACTAAGCACTGCATCAAGGTAGAGTCTGACTAGGGTAGAATACAAGCAAGATTACCCCTCCCTCATCCAAAACATCCAAAATGTCTTTTAATATAGCTACGGCCTACAAAACAGCCTTTTTTTTGGGGGGGCTGCCATGTTGACTTGGACTGAATCCACAGTTCTACTGTGCCCATGACCTGTCTGTCTCTGTCCAGGTCAGTCCCCCAAACCCATTTACCATCCAGTGGGGTTAGGGCTAGGCCTCTCATTTGGTATCCTTTAGTTTCTCCATCTCCCATCTATCTTCCTAGTGGTTATTCTTTCTTGAAAGTGGGTGTCATCTTTTCCTGTGGGTTTGTTTCCTTAAGGGATGGCTTTAGCCCCCTTTCTGTTGGTCCTTAGAGATTGTTTCCTTATTTAGAAAATGAAAGGGAGTTGGGCTAAATGCTTCATAAGGTCCTTTACAATTCTGACATTCTATGATTCTTCCCACCCCACTCTCATTGGTCCACCTTCTTTCTTTTTCAAGGTGGGCTCTTGCTCATGGGGCCACAGGGGGACATATTCTCAGCCCAGTGCCTCATCCAGCCTACCTTGGATCCACAGTTCTATTCATTTTTCCAGCTTTGGTCTAGTGACTCAACCCCAAAAGGCAGTGTGGCTTGGGTGGTGTTGAGAACTTTGGATCTGTAGTCAAATGACCTAGGTTGGAATTCTAGCTCCAGCTCCTTGTGTGACTTTTTCCCACCTGTTTCCTCATTTGTAAAACAGGAGGTGGGCCACATGATTCCAATGCTCCTTTCCAATGATATCTACATCAAATCTATGATCCAATGATGTCTGGCCACTCTAAGGGGAGTGGTCCCCAGTCCCACCCCAGAACATTCTCCCTATGGTTTCCAAAGAAGAACACTTGACATGGACTGTAAGAACAAGAGACAATTCCTGGGGAAAGTCCTTGGAATTAGAACCCGAAGTTCCTCACCTACAGAAAAGAGAAGGGGGAAGGTTCCTTACAATAGGAAGGAGGTATCGCACCTGCCCAAGGAACATCCATGGGGAGGGGGAAGGGTGAGGGAAACAACTCTTTAGGTGAGGGAGCAATTCCATTTAAGGTCTAGTGGAAATGGAGGACAAACCCACCCTTGTCACTGACAATTCTCTCCTGGTCTACACTCATGTCCCTGATAATATTAGCAGCAAAACCCTTAGAAACTCCTGGGGTAAGTGGGGCCCGAAGGGTAGTGGGAGTGAACAGAGAGTCAGCACACGACTAAGAAGCAACTGAGGTAGGGGAGAAGAGATTCTTGGGAGGCATTTTCCTGGGGGGGAGGGAAGGTCTGAGGCACGTCTTCTAGAGAGGGTCTTTGGGGATGCTGGGAGATCTCTAGGAGGCAGTTTCTGCAGAAGAGAGTGGTCTCTGTGGCTAGAGGCACCTTCCTGCAGTGAGGTAGGGGGTCTATGTGCATGTCTCTTTGGGAAGACCCATTCCACCTTCCTGTCCCTGCCTGCACTCATTTATTTCTGTGTGTTTTTGATGTGTGGAAGTCTGTACCTTGCTGGGAACCTCCATGTGTGGAGGTTGAGTGGGGAGAGGGCTATATGTGTGTGGGGAAGTCTTGGCAGGGACAGCTCTAGGGCTGAGTGATTCTATGTACAAAAGGTATAGAGGGTTCTGGGGTATCTCTGTGGGGTCCTAAGACTTCAAGAGTATTTCTGGGCTTCTTTTGCAGAAATCACTGGAGGTCTATGTGTGGGATCTCGAAGGGGAGATACCTAGGAGGGGGTCTCTGAGGGAAGTCACAACCTCAAATGGGTCATGGGGGGGGCTTCTTCACCTGCTTTTCATATGGTAGTTGGCATTGGGAGGGTTCTCTCTTGTGTGTATGTGGGGTGATAATCTCTAGACAGAAATCTCCGGGTTTATTTTGTGTGCATGTGTCTCTAGAACACAAGTCTCTGCCCACCTCTGTGGGGGCTCACTCCTCACCTTGCTTTCGGTGGAAGAGGGTCTGGGCTGGGTTGTGGAGGGGAAGAAGCCGCTGATTTCCGTAGAGGGTTGCAGAATCCTTTGGCTCAGTGGGATCTAGAAGATAAGAGGTACTGAGAGCTTGACGACAGCTGTCAAGCAAGACTTTCTCCCACCCCCCGAGGACCTCATTGCCTCATCCAAAGTCCCTGACCTTTATGGCACTCACTCGGGGCCACTTCCAGATCCTACGCACTCTGGGACTCTTTGCAGAGGTCACTCCTTGCATGAATATGACATCTAAGTTCAGCCCCAACTTCTGACACATGGAGCTCTGGGCCACCGGCTGAGGGAGGGTCCCAGGGGGATATTGGGGGAGGATTCCTGGGAGGTACTAGGGAAGGGTCCCCCGGGAAGATGCTGGCAGAAAGTCCCCCCCAGGGGGATGGTGAGGGAGGTCCTTCTGGGATACTGTTGGAGGGACCATGGAGGATATCAGGAAAGGCCCCCAAAAGCATACTTAGGGAAGGACCTAGAGGAATACCGGGGGTGGCTTGTTAGATTATTGCAGGAGGGTCACACAAAGATATTAGGAAACATTAGGGAAGGGTGCTCTGGGAATACTGGGGAGGTAGAATAATGGGAACCTAGGGAAGTACTGGGAAGGGAGTCACAGGCTATCTTGGGAGAGGATCCTAGGGGTATATTAGGGGAAGGTGCCAGGAGATATTAGGAAAAGGTCCGGAGGAGGCATATTGGAGAACAGTACTGGAGAGATATTGAAGGAGAATCCCAGGAAAGTTTTGCATAACTATCTTGCAGGGATATTGAGGGCAAAGTCCTGGGGAGATATGGTGATAAGATCCCAAGAGAATGTTAGGTTAAGTAGACTTCATGTATACTGAAGGCACATCCTAGGGAGAAAGTGGTTGAAGGGAGAAAAGTCCCAGAAGGTTGTTGGGTATATATCCTGCAGTATATTGGGAAAGTACCACCCAAGGACATTAGGAGAGGGTGCTAGGGACATATGGTGGCTGAGGGTAGGGGGCAGAGAAGAAATGGTAAAATATATTTGAGGAGAGACCTAAGGAATACAGAGAGAGGGGACTGGGAAGTACTGGTAGAAGGCCCCAAGTGATACTGGGGGAGGGTCCCAGGAGGGATTGTGGATAATTGGCCTGCAGGTATTTATTGGGAAATCACATAAGGATACTGGGAAGAGGGAGAGGGGACACTCCCAATAGGCCTATTAGTAGAGAGTGTTTAGGGGATACTGATGAGTGGATACAGAGAAAAAGAACTTTTGGTGAGGGAATTTTTTCCTAAGGGAACAGGGGGACCTGGGGGGTGGAGCTCAGGGAACAGTGGGATTGGGTTAAGGTTAGTAATGTTGGGAAAGGGTCATGAGGAGGAATATTAAGAAATGGTCTTGGAGGGATACGGGAGAAAGGTGCTAGGAGGAAAATTGGGCAAAGTGTCCCAAAAGTATATTGGAGGAGCATCTTAGGAGAGATATTAGGGGAAGGCCCTGGAGGTTGTTAGATAATTAAGTACCCTCTTGGTATGTTGGGGAACAATCATAGAAAGATATTAAGGAAGATATCTGGGGTATATTAGGAAAAGGTACTGAGGGGATATTGGATGGTGGAAACTGGGAAGAGATGTTAGGAGAGAGCTCCAGGAGATACCGGGAGAAGGTCCTGAGGAGATCTATTAGGGGAGGGTCCCAGGACGATACCTCAGTCTTGTATAGGTAACTGGTTAGACGGTTCTTCGACGTATCAGTAAGTAGACACAAAGGAAAATATTTTGGGGGAGGGTCCCAAGGGGAAATGGGAGAGGGTTTTCTGGAGGGCACACTGGAGAACTAATATTGGAGAAGGGTTCTCAGGGTTATTAGAGGGAGGGGAGATCTCAGTTGTGTTCTACAGGTATTGGGGGTGGGGCAGGGATATTGGGAGAGCATCCTAAGGAAAGATAGGGGTTAGGTCCCAGTCAAGTGTTGGAAGTACCTTGCATTTATAGTGGGACTAGTCACAGAAGGATATTTGGAAAGGATCCTCTGGAGAAATTAGAAGAGGTTACTGGTGGACTATTTTAGGGTAGAAACAGGAGAGGATCCCTTAGGAATATTAGGTAACATACTGGTAGAAGATCCTAGGAGGGTACAAATGGTAAGTATCCTTGGGCTGTATCCTAAGGAAGGGTCCCAGAAGCATAATGGATAATTTTGGTGTTGGGGGGGACAGTTCATACCAGGATATGAGGAGATATTAGAAAAAAGTAATGGCATATGGAGAAAAGAGAAAAAAGTAAAGATTTTAATTACGAGAGGGTGGTGGAAACATTTTTAGAGTGGAAATAAAGGGAAAAGCTATTGGGCAAGGAAACTAAGAAGAAACTGGAGAAAGGTTCTGGGAATATACTAGAGAGGGGGAGAAGATATCAGGGGATATTGAGGAAAGGGAAGGTCCTAGAAGGGATTGAAGAGGGGTAAATTGGAAGATTCTCAGAACAGCATGGGACATATATTCTGCAGTTTTATTGGGGATATGTGAGGGAATAATATGAGGAAATTAGGAAAGGGTACCTGGAAAATGTTTGGGCATGAGAACGGGGGGAAAGATATTGGGAGGATCTAGGGAGATTCTGGCGGAGGGGTCCCAGGAAATATTAAGAGAAGGCCCTATGGGTCCTGAAGGAATATTGGAGGATGTCCTGAGGAAGCAGATTGGGGTAGTCCAGAAGAAATACTGGCTAAATGCCCTTTTCAGGCATATTGGGGAAGATCCTAGGGATATTAGGGGGCAAATCCCAGGAAGAAGGGTATTAGTAGTATCTTGCAGCTATACTGGGAGTCAATCACACAAGGGCCCATACACGGAAAGGCTGAGGATGAGAGAACCAGGGGACCAATAGGAAAAGGTCCCTCTGCAGAAATGGGAGAGGATCCCGGGAAGACATACTGGGGAAAGGCCCTGTTCAAACTTTCTTGGGAAGTTGTGGAGCAGGATTAACTCTTGGGGGTATAATGGAGAACCTTCTAAGAGGAAGTTATGGGAAGTTTTTGAAGAGGCTTATTGGGGAAGGGATCCAGAGGGATATTGAGTTTTGTCCTTCATGTACAATGAAGGGGTGTCCTCTAGATATACTGGGGACCTGGAGAGGAGGAGGGGAGTGTTTCCAGGAGAGTATTAAGAAAGAGTCTTGAATGTATATTAGTGGAGAGTCACACAAGGATATTTATGGTCCCCACAAAGGTATTAGGAGAGGATACTGGGAATGGATAAAAGCAAAAAAGACATGGTAGGGAAGGCTTATGGAAATATTAGGTAAAGGGAATGGTGGAAGAAAGTCCAAGTCAAAGAGAAATTTATGGTAGGGTCTTATGGAAATATTGGCAGAGGGTATGGAAATAGATATACAGGGGAGGGTCCAAGGAAGACACTGGGTTTTCTGGAGGTTAGGGAATTCTCACCGAGCTCAAAGGCTTTCTTTCCTCAGAGCCTGAACCAAAGGTGTTCAACGCCTCATCCTCCTCTTTGCTCTTTGGGAAGAGAAAAGATGAAAGAGAGCATGAGTCTGAAGGCTCTAGCTTGGAGTTGGGAGATGTTTGAGAAGCTCAAGAATTTAGCTTGACTACATGAGGGCTCTGGGGCCCTAGCAGGGCAGAAACCCAAAACCGGCTGGTGGGGGGGGAAATCTCAGCTTGGTGATTGGGGAAGGGGAGAAGAAATCTAAACCTGCTGGGAGGTAGGAAAAAGAAATCTGAGCCTGGGGGGCAGGAAGAAGGGAAACTGAGCCTGGAGGAAGAAGAAATGGAATTGAGTTGGGGAGGGGAAAGAGAGAAACCTGAACCCAAGTTGGAATTGAAGAGGGGAGAGAAATGTGAGCCTTGAGGGGGAGAAATTTTAGGAGAAAACTTGAGCTTAGAGAGAAAAAAAACTAAACTTGGGAGGAGCAATTCTGAGTGGGGGGTAAGAATCTAGGGGGGAGTGGACTGTTGGTAGTGAAGAAATCTGGCCCTGAAAGTAGGGGTGTGTGTGTGTGTGTGTGTGTGTGTGTGTGTGTGTGTGTGTTAAACCTAAGAAGGGAGGAAACCTGAGTGAGCCTGGGTATGTTACAGACTCACCTGTATATCCTGTCAGTCCCAATACTATCACCTCTTATACCTCCTTATTTATACTATTTTCCATGTGGAGAACAGAGAGGACTCAGAGTTGTGCCATTCAGTCGCAAGCAAGCTCATCAGGACCTGTTATCACTGCTCCCCAGCCTGGGACTGCTTTGTGCAACAGGCCCCAGCACCCACCCAACTCCCTGTAGGTGGGCAGACACCAACTCTCTCCCTCTACCTGCCCAAACCTTTGGGCTCCCCATCCTGACCCACCCTCTCAGTGTTTTCAGAGTCACACTTGCCTCACCCCACACTACAATCATTCCCAATCCCATTACATTTTCACCAGCACCATTCCCACAAAATTGCAGACAGCTTTATCTTTGGCTCAACTGTTCCTGCCTTTCAGCCCAAGGAATCCTCAGGGTCTCACAGGGGAAGTCGGCCTTTAGAAACTTAATAATCTGAGCCAATAGGAATACTCAGCCTGAGTTTGGAGCACCCACATGTTTGTCTGGGAAGAATATCAGTAGGCACAGTAGGATGTAGGCCCAGGGAATGTCTCTGAGCTACAGTACAGAGGAAGGGGAGCTCACCACATCATCCAGTCGGGAGCCATAGATGACCTGTAGGTAGTTGTGGAAGGCCTCCAAACGCAGCTGGGGGGTGAAGAGCATTTGGGTCAGGGGCTCCACCTGTCCCAAGGCCAGGCTCCGTAATTCCTCATCCCTGGCAGCCAGCTTGGCACAGGCCTAAGGGAGTCAAAGCATACCTGTCAACTTAGGTCCAACCTATCCCCCAAGTAGCAGCTTCAAGAGGGTCCTCACCCAACACTGCCCAATGGCATGCCTAAGGGAGGCAAAGGAACAGGGATGCACGCTGACACAGACAGAGACAAAAAGAGAGATAAAATCCGAGAAAGACACACTCATACACAGAGATAAAAACAGGGAGAAATACTGGGACACACAAAAGGAAAGAATAAAGACAGAATACCAAGGCACACAGACAAGTCCAGGGCATGGCCACTGTATTGGGAGGCTGCTAGGTAGGGAGTTGAGCCTGGGAGGTCGACCCCCACGCCCCCACCCCATCCACCGTTTATTCTATTCCCCTCCCTTAAATACCTCATCTATCTCCCTTTGTCTGTTCTCTGCCTCCAGATACTCCTGCCTTATAACCTTCTTCATCCTGAACACAAGAACACATGGGATGAGAATAAAGACCCAGTCCTTTGCGGGACACCTATGGACAGCTAAGCACAGTCATGGTGGGAGGGGTGGGGGAAGGGAAGGGAAGGGAAGAGGGCTGGGGTCCATATGGGGCCCTTGAGAGAGTGAGAGATCAGAGCTGGCTCTGTAGAGAAGGGAGGAACCCTATCCCCTCACCCATACAAGAACCAGCTGAAGGAACTGGGGATGTTCAGCCATTAGAAGAGAAGGCTTAGGGATAACAGGACTGCTTTCTTCAGCTATCTCAAGGGTTGCTATGGGATATAGTAAGTCAATAAATAATGAATAAATAGCTGAGGTGTGTATACAAAGCACTGTATACATGTAATCTCATTTGAAGAGATACTGGGCTAATTTACCTGGCTATAGAAGACAAAACTAGAAGGTAGAGAAAAGCAGATTTAAGTTTCATGCAGAGAAAATCAGCCCAACATTCTGAGTCTATAAGGAAGGGAACCGGCTGCCTCAAGAGCCTGTGGATTCCCTAAACCTGGCCTACTTGTCAGGGATGTTATAAGGTGATTCCTACTTAGACATCAGAAATTATCTTCCTGTGCTGACAGTCTGTGCAGCCTGTGACAGCAAGTCTGCAGGGGCATGGGAGGCTGAACTGAGAGTCTGGGAGACTCTAGGATCTGAGAGACCAGGTGGTCTGAGAGTTTTTAAACTGAGTCGGGCCAGGGGGGATGAGTACAGTCTGAAAGCTGAGTGTGGGAGGGTTTATGGAATGGATGGGACAAGTAGTTGAGTTGATGAATCAGAGGGTCTGTGGGGCTTGGGTGTGGGAGTATTAAGAGTCTAGAAATTCATGGTAGTTACGGGGTCTAGAGCTATGAAAAGTGAGAAAGGGTGAGATCTGTAGGGACAGAGGGTATGACAGATTGTGGGGTCTATGAGGCTGGAGGAGTGTGAAAATCTGTTAGGCTGGGGGAGTCAGTGAACCTGTGTAGAGTTGGAGGACTGATTCAATTATGAGGTCAGGCAAGTATTAGGGTTAGGGTGGGGATAGAGGAAGGAGGGGTGTGTGTTGGTGGGGGGGGATGGGGCTTGGTCTGACCGGACACTAGGGAGAGCCTGAAAGTCTTTCAGCCTTTTTAGCTCTTCTGAAGTCAGCAGCTCCGGGTCTGTCAGTGGCAGGGATGGGTCATCCTTAGGGTTTGGCACTTTCCGACACAGAACCTGTAGAGTTTAGAGAAGACAGTAGCACATATACTAGGTCTGGGAGCCCCACTCTCCTTACATCTTCCAAACAGCATGCCCCCCAATGTCTCGTTGGCTCCTTTTTTGGGGGAGGAGAATAATTGGGTTATACCAGGAGTCTGAGTCAGAGCTAAGCCCTTCCCACCACTACCATCTATAATCCAATTTTACTTGATAGACTGAGAAACTGAGGCGCAGAAAAGGAAAGGAATTTGTCCAAAATTACCCAGGTACTTAAATAGTAGAGCCAGGGTTTTGAAGCTAGGGTCTCTGAATCCCAACCCAGTGTTAGCGGTACCTTGACCAGATAAGATGTGGGCAGGTAGAGTTTGTGAGAGAGCAGGCGAAGGTGTGAGCCAAAGGAAAAGATCAGATCGCCCTTGTCATTGCAGAAGGTTATGGTCTCTGGAGACATGTTCAGATGCATCACCCTGGAGAGTAAGAGCAGGGAGGAGAGTGGGCAGGGAGGTGAAGTACTGAGTTCCATTCTACCCTTTTCCAACCCAGCTCCTCTGCAGATAGGGGAGGCCCAAGGAGGGTTAGTCGACTCCACAGGTCCACTGGGCTCTGGATACACATATTCGACACCAGGGATAGAGAATCTGTGGCCTCAAGGCCATGTGTGGCTCTCTAAGGTGCTCAAGTATGGTCCTTTGCCGTTTGGATTCAAAGGGCCACACTTGAGGACCTAGAGGGCCACATGTGGCCTCGAGGCCACAGGTTCCCCACCCCTGATCTATACCCTATCACATACCTGAGCAATTTATTGTCCTGAGTCCAGATTCTCACAGTGCAATCCAGGCTTGAGCAAGCATAAAGCTTCAGGTAAGGGCAACAGCACAAGCCTGAGAGTTGGGAGACAAGAAAAAGGGTGCTGGAATCAGTATGGCAGTCTCAGTCTAGTGAAAGGGGGCTCATTAGGGGACCAGGGATGCCTTTAAGGACCCTTCATGGGGAAAGTATGAGACCTGAAGCCCTCTTCAGGGACTGAGGGGTATGTGTCAGGTGCTCCGTTCAGAACTGTCACCAACTGACACTGCTGACCTGTGATGTGGTCTGTGGGGTCATCCTGGGGGCAATGGTCATGGCGTATGTCATTGTTGTCAGATGTCCCATACTGCACCAAGCTGTAGGTGGCACTGGAGGGGTCCTCGAAGGCCACAGTGACACGAGAACCCAGGGCACAAAGTGCCACAGTTGACTGGTAGCAGAAAAATGTCCGAAGCAAGGTCAGGCTGTCGTCTGAGTAGGGAAATATTCGCCACATCTTTACAGTCATGTCTGTGCCTACCCCCCCAGAAAGAAGAGATGGAAACGTCAGGGAGCTTGCCTACTGGTGGACATCAGGATGCCTGAGGGGCAGGACCCTGGGAAGAAGGGGTAGGGAGAGGATCACTGGGAGGGATGAGCGGAGGCTTCTGCGACAGGGTTTGGTATACATTGGTTGCCATGGGTTGAGGCCAAGGAGTCTCTCAGAGCATCAGGGCAGGACCCTGAAGTCTTTTGGAGCTTGGACCATCAGAGTAGCTGTTTTGGTCTGGGATTACGCTAAGAAAGTGATGCTGACCCAAAGGTCCCACTGCTAAACACCTACCCCAAGGAGATAAGTGACAGAAAGGTCTAACATATGAAACAAAATATGTATAGAAGCACTTTCTTTCCCCCAAAAAGAGACACAAAGTAGATGCCCCTCAACTGCGAAGGCTGAACAAATTGGAGAAAGGATGAATACAGAGCATGGGAACACTTGAAAGACCTGATACAAAGTGAAGTAAACAGAACCAGGAAAATTTACACAATACCTAAATGGAAAAAACAATGGAAACAACAAAACAGAAAGTGAATTCCACAAAATTATAATGACCAAGCTTGGCCCCAAAGGAGATATCAGACAATGGGTGAGGGCCTCTGGGTGAAGGACACTATATATTAAGTCAGACTTGCTTGATACATTGGTTAATTTTGCTGAACTTTTGTATTCTTTTTTCAGTTCTTTGTTTTAAGGGATAGTTCTCTAGGATGGGGAGGAGAAAGGCATTAGGTAATTGGGTAATGAGACTGTGGCAAAAAAAAAATCAATAAATTTAAATTAAAAAAAAAAAAGAGTTCCTGCTTCAGAGGGACATGGGAAGCTGGACCAGGAAGGGGAAGGCAGGGGAAAGAATGTTGGGTAAGAAGGACCAGTGAATGAGGAAGAAGTGGGAAATGTATGTGTAAAGGGTAGGGGGTGGGGTCAGGAAGAAGGAGGGATGGGGTGGGGTCTGGGGTCAGGACAGGTGATGAGGGCATCAACAGAGAGGAAGGGGTTTGTAAAAGCCTGTTTGGAGAGGGAAGGGAAGGCTGGACCGAGGAATGACTGAGCAGAGGGTGTGAAGGCTGGGCAGGAAAAGAGGGCGAGGTTCACTGACCTGAGGTAACCAGACTCTGCAGGCTCGAAGCAATGGTAGTCGTGGAGCCTGGGCCGTGGGCTTCTATATGAAAGAGCTTCCGGAAAGACTGCCAATCCAGGACCGCGATCGTGCCGTCGGTGTAGCCTAACACTGGCAAGAACCTACGGTCCGGAGGATGGACATCATTACCTCTCCTACCAGGTTCTCCTGGTCCCCGCCCCTCCCTCTCATATTCCGAAGCCCGAGGTCTCTCCAGGGTCAATGTGCGGACCTGTTCCTGTCTTCCCACGTGGTGCCCAGCCAGCTCTTCCTGCGGAGCTCCCCGCCACGATTCCGCACGCTTGCCCAAGAGCTATAGGCCCTCGTCGGGTCGGCAATGTGGCTAATCAGGTGGAGGCAGCAGGGCCGGGCGTCTGGCGGCTGAGGCGACTGCATGCGGCGGACCACGGGCATGGGGTAGCGCGCTGCGTTGGCGCGCAGCAAGACCCCTTCGTGGGTCAGCACCAGCAGGACCTCTCGAGGCATGCAATAGGCCGTGGCTGCAGCCATCTCTCCAGGCGCCAGCAGCAGCGCCGAAATCATCGTTCCAGTAACGGCTGAGAAGATGCGCACCGTGCTGTCAGTGCATCTGCCCACGATGCGCTGCGGCAGAACGTCGCGGTCTGGCTGCGGCGGCGGAGGCGCCAGTTCCAGGCCTTGTACGGGGGAGCTAAGGGCCACCAGAGGGCTGTGCAGCTCGCACACTACCCAGAGCTCCAGGTACGCCAAGCCCTGTACCAGCACAGGAGCACCGCGCCGGGCTGGTGCCCAAAGACGGCACACTGTCTCGCTGTAGTTGCTAGGGGTAGAGGGGGGCGACATCTCATCCTCGTTCGCAATGTCCTGTCGCACCCCCGACAGGGTCTCTGAATGATTCCGAAGAGACACTTCGCCCACTTGCTGCGCCGTCTCCAGGTTCCAAGTGCGCAGAGTCATGTCCTGGGATGCTGACAGCACCAGCACTGAGCCAGGCAACATGGCCAAAGCCGTCACTGGACCTGTGAAGCCGGGGCACGGCACATGTCACCAGAACCAGGGAACACACCTCAGGAGTTGAGGCAGGAGATACAGACCAGGGTTTTCAGACTGGGGCTACCGCATGGGAATGGGACGCGTGTTACGGGAAGAGGAGTGGAGAACAACTGAAAGACAGGGGAAAGCGAAGCAGGGCACAGGGCAAGTTGGCAGAGGGTTCCACGCTATGGGAATGGGTGACATGTCAGAGGGCAGTGACTGGAACATGTGGAAGTGAACAGTGGAGCCAGATATCGACGGGTGCTGCATCTTGATGGTGAATGGGGTGAATGGTAGGGATCGCAGACATCAGGAGGCTCCAAGGATCCTAGGTTACCGAATAGGATGGATTGAGAGGGAGACTTGTGGAATGTAGAGAACTGGAGGTGAAATCTGGAGACTGTATCCCCTTATTACCTGTGTGCCCCACAAAAACGCTGCGGATTTGCCAATCAGCGTCCCACACCTTCACAGTGCTGTCTCGAGAGGCTGTTACCACAGCCTCTGCAGCTTCACAGTACACCACGTCCGAGATTATGCTAGGGAGGGAGCAGAGGGTTAAGCTAATCTAAGACCCCTCCGCAAGACCTGTTGTGTATGCCAGAAGGTTGCTATATGGTCTCAGTGCCACACCTTTGGCTTCCTACACTGCCCTCCCGGTAGGCTGTCCCATCCTCTACCCCTTTCTCATACTCCCTTTTTAGTGAATCTCAAAGCCCCCTTCTTTCTTCCCCTTGCCCCCTTCCAGTCGATCCCTTCCACCTCTCTCACGTTTTGTGCAGCTTCCGGCGCACATCAATGATCGAGCAGGTAGCCAGGTCATAAGTGAGCAGCTCAGCCCCGCAGACAGCGAAGCAGCGAGGGAAGACCCCATGAGGTGCCACATCTAGAGCCATTCGGCTGACAGCACAGGGCTGTCCCTGGCTTGGGAGCGCCGGAAGCGTAGCTGCCAGCACTAGACGCTGGCCACCACGTCGAAACTCCCATATTGACAGCCCACCACCCTCCTCGCCAATGGCCACCATCCCCTTTCCAGGCAACAAAGCACAGCACACGGGCAATCGAGACCGTTCCAAGAAGTTGCGGGACAGCAGTTTCAGGTTCTCATTCAGTACTACCATTCCTTCGGGCCCCCAACCTATAAAGCGTCCTGGGTTCTGGCCCAGGTGCTGAAAACCCACGAGGGCCACGAGCCCTGTGAGGTCTGCTGGAGCACAGGTGTGGCCACGGGCCCAGCCATCTTCAGCATGCAGATATAATTGGCTAGCACCATCCAGGAGCACCAAGCGTGAACTTTCCTGGTCTTGCGCCACTGCCAGCAGCCCCGCAGGCACCTCCAAGCGCCGCAGGGATTCCAGCCCATGAGTCAAGTGCGCCACCTGCATCTCGGCACGCTTCATCTGAAGAGTGAACAGGACTTGTGGTGAGCTGGAGCATCGTCTGCTGGACCGGCGCCGGAGTTGGGGTGAACAGGAAAAGGGCTTCATATTGGGAAAAGGGATCGGGCTGTGCAAAGACTGACCAAGGGCGCATGTATTGGGGGGAGGGCACTCAACAGGGAAATGCATGGGGACACCGCAGTGGCGTTACAGGTAGGGGACAGGCACGCGGCGTCATAGATGGGACAGTCGCACAGTGGCGGAGACAGGAAGGGGGCCGGGTCCCTACCCTTTCCACTATGCGGTACAAGCCGTCGCGCAACACTAGCCAGAGGCGGCGGGCCCGGGAGAAAGGCATGATACTCCACCATAGCTCGTTCGAGGAGAAGGAGCCCGTCGTCGTCGTCGTCGTCGTCGTCGTTGTGGTTACGTCCTCGACTTTTGGACAGGAATACCAAGGTCTATGGCAGGGATAACCTAGGATTCTCCCTGTCCCCTTTCTCCCGCCTCCCTAAACACCGGGCCCTAAAGATGACAAGACGCTGGAGAAGAGCCTGCTTCCCCTGCCCTCAGGTCTAAGTAGGCACTTTGCCGGAGTGCCCCGACACAAGTTTGGAAAGGCGAGGGTGAGGAGTTCTCTATTATGGGAAGTGGGAAGAGCGAGGGAAAGGCGGGAGCGAATGCCTAGAGGGCGAGATCTGGAGTGACATCTTAGTGCTCTCCTATTCTAAAAATCTTTTCAGACTCAGATACCTTTCGAAGCTCACCTGACTGAATCTGGCCACTGCCCTGGTTTTCAGCTTCCTTCTGTTGAGGCCACTCTTCCGCCATCTCAGGCTGATTCGCTTTGGAGTCGCTTTGACCTTTCAACTTGTCTGCCTCAGGCTTTTTTGGATCCATTGCGGCTCTGGGACCTGGGGTTGGGAGCTGCCGCTCGTCACTCCAGGTACAGCTCCCTCTCGCAGCATCAGTGCTGAGGGGCAGGGTCCCTCCCCTGCACCCCTAAGGGGACAGTGCCCCCCTATTGAAGCCTCCACGTAACAGAGACGATGCCACCCTCCCGCATAACTGCACCCCACAGCACAGTCACTCCAGTTTTCGCTCCCTGGTAGAGTCCTGTGGCTACACCCCTCAGTAATGAGTCTCCACAGTAGCGCCGCCCTAGATCTCCCCACCGCCAGTAGCAGTGCCCCTCCCCAGAATGGACTCCTAAATCACATCTCTGAGGGCTTAATACCCCTCAGAGTAACGCGACCCGCCCCCCAATTCCTCCAATGGCAAGTTCTCCATTATAGGGACAGATCCTTCCCCATCACCACACCTTTCCTCATCCCTCCACTTCTCTCCGGGTGGAGAGACACTCTTAACTACACCCATCAGGGCAGCACGTGTCCCATCTTGAAATGGGCCCCCAAACCACATCTGTCAGGATCGTCCCTCTGCAGGGCTTCCAGAATTCTTCCTGTAATAGCACTCTCTCCTGGTTCAATCTCACCCCACCAGTCTCTTCCCGTAACAGCGCATCATCCCTCCGGACTGTCCGGGGACCCAGCCCCACACTACCACACCCCTTAGGATTTCGATACCCCCTCCCACAAGTGCCACCACCCTAAGGACTGTGCCCGGCATTGTTGCACCCTCCTCGATAACTCTTCCCATAGCAGTGTCCAATCCTGGAGCAGACCCGGGTCATGTGTGACCGTAACCCTCAGGACAGCGTTTTTGGGGTAGAGGCAAACCACTTCCCTACTTTACTCGCCCAATGGTCTTGCTTAAGCAAACGACTCCACGTTTTTAGGCTTAATCCCCTCCCACTAGAATTCACCGACAGCTAACGTCCAGTACTGGTCACTCCTACCGCTCCACCCTTGGCCGCTAGGAGACCCGCTGAGTCAGACCCCTCCCCCTTTTCTCTCCAGGCACGAGGTGAGGAAACCTCCATCCAGGCACGAGGACGCTATGCACCCAATTGGACTACGCTCCTGCTGCTGTATCGCCTTCATCCCTCCTTCTTACTACCTCCAACCCAGCTGGATCTAGATACATCATTTCCCTCTCCCCTCAGCCCAGGCACTCAAACTTAAGTCACAGAAACTTTATTGGAGACAAACACAGAGCTGCAGCAAAGTGACCCCTCAGTGCACACTGGCGGCTGCCCTTCAGGGCTGGACCGAGGTAGGAGGGGCCTGGGGCACGGGTCCCGTCCTGCCTTGCCCTGGCACCACTAGGTGAAGGCTGTGCCCAAAGTCCAGACCAGCTACCAGCAGGCCCAGAGTACATACAGCCCCCCACCTGCCCCCAGGGATTTGGGATGGAGTGTGATGGGGAAAAGAGGGGCTAGTGCCCCTGTACAAAATATAAAAATACAATCTGGGAGCCAGAGGGAGCAGGTCAAAGTTAGCCCTGCCACCTCGAAGTACACAGTCAGTGGGACTCAATCCTTCCCCAAGAGTCCAGGGCTAGGCAGCATGAGGGAGAAGGCAGGGGGCTCTGGTGCTGGTTCTGCAGGATTGGGAAAGGTTGGGGGGGGGGAGTCAGTTGCTCACAGTCTGGAGCCAAAGTGCTAGGAGGGCTAAGCCCAGCTGGTTGCAAAGGGACGGCCAACTGGGGGGCCCAAGGGGGTCGAGCAGACAGGAAAAGTCCTCGTCCAAGAGCAGTGAAGATGAGTGGTTCCTGTACCTCTCACATGCAGATCACCTGAAGCCTAAGAACAGAGTACAGAAGGGTATTATAGTCAAGAGCCCAAAAAGGGAGTAGAAAGAAGCTGAGCTGGTCAACCCTAAAAGTTGAGGTAGGAAGGGAAATGGGGCAGATGGAGGGGGCAGCAAAGACAGGGGTGTGAGGTGTCTGAAGGGTCAGGGCCAAGAAGGAGAGGTATTAAAGGATGGGAGTCGAGTGGAGAAAAGTGCTAGTTGATTAAGAACTTCCCTCTCTTGTGGATGGGCCAGAGTGAGAGAGAAGGTGCTGCAAAGTGGCCCCAATGCTGACGGCAAACCTGTCCTCCATGGTGCTGGTCTCCTCTGTTGCCCCCTCACTGCTGCTACCCCCTCTTTCTTCTTCCTCTTCCTCTTCCTCCTCTCCTAAGTCCATGTCCAATTCATGGCCAGCTTCTGATCGAGTGTATGTGGAACCACTGTGGGAGGAGCAGGGGAGATGTGGCCTTAGGAGCCTCTTCCAGTCCTGACACCCCTTCCCCCATATATACACAGCCCAACTGGCCCCAGGAGGAGAGCTGACGGTGGAGGGCAGAGGCCCTGGTTCAGACCTGATCGACCGGCAGCTGAAGAAGACGATTCGCTTGAGCCGCTTGTTGTAGAAAAAGTAGTTGAAGGACCAGAGGCTTCCATCTTCACCAAAGGGGTCAGAGTCCAGGTCAGGATTGTAGCTAGGGGGTGTGGGGTGGGACAAGGTTAGAAATCCCCATGGGTACCTGAACACCCCCACCTTAGACATCTTATTTGGGTGGGGAGAGCCCCAAACAAGAGGGAAGAGTGAAGACCAGGTAAGTGACTGCTACAGGCCAGGCAACTGTATGGGGTGGCGAGCACACAAAAGACAAAAGTCTCAGTTGTCAGGCAGGAAATATGTAAGACATTAAGTAAACAGTCAATATACAAATAAAAGTAATTTCCAGGTGATGAAAATATCAGCAAACTGCAGGACAACCAAAGGCTCCTCTGGTATAGCAAATACTACCTGAAATTTGAGCCCTGAAGGGTATCTAGTCCTGGAGACTAGAAGGGGGGGAGGGGGTATTGGGGAAGGAGGTGTTCAGTCACACTGAAGGAAGGCACCAACGCTGAAGCTGGAACACTGAGCTCAGCAAGTGCAAAGGCCCACTGTGAGAACAACATGAAACCAGTCTGGAAGGATGGACTGGGATCTTAATGGGAAGAAATTGAAAATGTTAAACAGTTTTTGTTTTATCTGGGAGGTAACAGTAAAGCACTTGGTCTTCTTGAGTAGGAAATGAACAGTGCGACTGGTGCTTTAAGAATGTCAGTTCTGTAGTAATGAAGAGGGAAGAAATAGGATGCAGGGAAACCTGCAATGGTCTAAGTGAGGAAGACCTTGCGCTAAACCATCACCATGGGGGTGGGGACCACATGAATGAAATAAGGGGGTGGGTAAGAGGCAGAAAATTTGACAAGAGTTGGCAACTGACTGAACGTGGGAAATGAGGGAGAGGGACAAGTTGAGCATGACTGTGAGGCTGTGAACCTGGGTGACTGGAAAGATAGTAGTGACCTTGGTAGATATAGGGAAGTTATAAAAAGGAGGGGTGGGTTTGGGAGAAAAATTATTAGTTTCATTTTGGAGATACTGAGTTTGAGATGCCCGTGGGGCATCAAGGTAGAGAGGTCTGGAAGGCAGTTTGTGGGGACAGATGAGGGCTGGATATGTATGTACATCTGAATCCTTGCAAGTTAATAAGTCACCAAATGTACAGAACAGGGGATCTTAACTTAATACCTGTGAACTTGGTTTTTTTTAAATATTGATAACTGTACTTCAATACAATTGGTTTCCTTTGTAATCCCATGTATTTTATTTTATGCTTTCAAAAACATTCTTAGAAGAGGTCCACTGGCTTTGCCAGACTGCCAAAGGGTCCAGGACCAAAAAGGTATAAACAGCAGGTGAAAAAGAGAAGGTAGTCTAGGACAGAGCAAGTACATCCATGCACAGTGAGCCAGACCTGCACGATGGTCCAACAAAGGCTTCTGACGTGTAAACAGGAGCACAAGCTGCCCTAACGGCCCCTGTATGTGCTCTGACTGATTTCCAAATCCCTCCTGGATTCCCACCTGTAGATATCACACTCAGAGAGGCAAATCTCTTCATCTACTGCATTCCAGAGCTGGGGCTTCAGGGCAGTAAAGTCCTCACGCACTGCTGAGAACAGGCTGCAATTTACTGAGTTCACCACCTGGAAGGGTGTGGGGAGGGAGCAATAATGACGAGAATATTTTGGTCACTCTCAACATAAGCAACCACTCATGGCCAGAGGACAAAGATGTGGGGCAAGGGCCAGTTCTAGTTTTCCACCCATCACTAAAGCCATGCTCCCCCCAACACACACACATACACACACACACACTGCCCACCTAAGAAAATGACCAGCCCCACTCCCCACCCCACTCAGGTGCCTTCTCTCTCACCCAGTTGAGGCTAGGTTCTCGGCTGAACTCGTGGCTCTTGGCGGTGCTGAAGTCATAATCAGGCCGGAAGGACTCATTGAGAGTGGCAATCAGATAGAAGAGGGTCTTTCGGCTGCACTTATCACTCAGTGGCCCTTCATCTTCCCCTCCCTGGCTCTTGCTCAGCCTGCTAGGGACATGGCCCTGTCATCCTTCCCCACCCCACTTCTGGAAATTCCCACCTCCCACCCCCAGATTCAGAATCCCTGGGTACCCTTCCCCTGGGGCTTGGAGAACCCATCTTTCCTATAGGACAGACCATACCTGCTGGGGCTGAGGCCAGAGGTCTGGGGGGGCGACAGAGCCTCTAGTACATGGGGCCGGCCCTCCTGGCAGAACTGCTTGAACATGTGCTTGTCGTCCCCTGCCATCTTACAGGAGTAACTCTCGATCCTGGGGGGGAGGGGGGGGGAGGGATCCACAGATGAGGGTGGAGAATGTAAAGAGCACAGGACTAGAAGTCAGGAAACAACCACAACAACTCATATTTCTAGAGCTTTGAAGTTTGTAAAGTTTCTCTCAACAGCCCTAAGAAGTAGGTCGTATAAGGACAAAAAGGAAACTGAGGTGCAGGGAAGTTAAATGACTTGACTAGGGCTAGAAACACAGCTAGCAACTGTCAGAGCCAGAATTTGAACCCAGATCTCTCCTATCTCAAGTCCAGTGCACTTTCCACTAACCAGGGAGCTAGTCTCAAATCTGCTACTAATTAACATGACCCTATGAAGTCATCAGACTCACCATCTTCTATACACATCTCATCTTCCTACCTTTGTTCACATTTTTCCTTGGGGTGATCCCTAATAGTCCCTTCTGAAAGCCCAATTCAAATGGCTTCCACTCCCTTGAAGAAGTATTCCTGATTCCCCTAAATTCATTCTCTAGCCCTACGTTAATTTATTCAACAAATAGTTGGGCAGTGAAAAAGATAT